CCGACCTCGTAAATTATTACCGAGGACATCGAGAATTCGTTTCGCCGTTTTCGAGTACCGGTACTCCACAGTTTCCTATAGTACTTCCGTTTGAGGCGCGATCGGAAAGTTACAAACTCTCGGACGCAAGGGGGGCATCCGAGTGACCAGAAAACCGGAGGCGGAAATTAAGATCCCGTTACGGAGGAAACTTTCGAGTACACGACTTCTAATTCCCTGACCAATCTCGGACTTTGTAATCGGTTTATTCCCTAACGAGATACAGGACGCTTCTTACATTCTTTAAATGGACTTCCATTTTTTAATGGATGCGTTTTACATTTTTTAAATGGAGGCGTTTTATATTTTTTTTGATGGAGGCGTTTTACATTTTTTAAATCGACGTTTGACGAAATATTTACCTGGATGGTTAAAACGAAAGTGATTGTAAGCTGTGCGAAGATTAATTCATATTGGAAGTCATGTAAAGACTAATTCATATTGTAAGACATATAAGGACGAATATTCATATTGCAATACATATGAAGACTAATTCATGTTCTAACACATACGAAGATTAATTTATATTGTAAGAGCTATGAAGACTAGTGAGAAGGAAAATATTGAAAATGGCGTTGGATGTCAAATACTAAGTGTGCACTTTAACCTTTTACTCTCCTATGGGTCGACATTTCTCTTGACTCTTATAAATAATTCAGATAACTAGATTGGTTGAATACATGTACTTACCAGTTACAATAAATAACATTTGTAATTGTACTTACAATAAATAATGTTTGTAATGTATTGCAATACATTTTACTAAGAAGCCTTCTCTTCATCTTGTAAATTAAAAAAGTGGCAAATAGAGTGCAAAGTGAGGAGCACGTGCCTTTCAGCGCACTAAATACCCCAAACGTGGGAGTCCTCAGTACGAATTTACGTCGTTAAAGACCTTGTTCCGAGAGGACAAAATTAGTACATAATTTAAAGGCGCTAAATTCGGGAAACCACACACCTGTCGAATTTCAATTAACTCTGGCGTTCTATCTTCGCGTTTTGTTTGTTTTTAAATTTATTAATCATGAAGAGTTTGTCTACGTCTTGCATTAGAAAAATAGAAGTGGAGGAAAATTAAAAGCACGTCATATGTCAGTGCACTTCTCAACCTATAATTATTATCGTGGGCAGCTACGTCGTTCATAGCTAGCCACAATCATTGCTACAACTTCAGACAAGAATGTTAAAATGTTAGGCTAGTAGGTTACACCTTCAGTGATTCTTGATGATACAAATTATAATTAGAGTCGAACCTAAATTTCAATTGCAGTGAAGTAGCTTTTAGTTCAGATATTCCAGTCTGGTTTATCATATTCCAACTGTAGTGGAATCGCATGTGTGACATGTAGGGTAAAGGATTAAGAGAGTTTCTCTGTGTCCAAACACCCTGAACGATCACCATGCTAGATCCTCAGAATAACTTTACGTCGTCAAAGACAATCTCCTAACTTTTACTATAAAAGGACAAAATAAAGAATCCCAGCGCATATTTTGAACGTGACAATTCACTCAATGGAACCTCACAAACCTGTCATCAAAGTGTATCATTCAACTTGCACCTCTTCACATTTGGATTAGAGTTTTCATATAGTCTTCAACCTTCATCTAGTCAATTAAATCTCTAAGCTAGTAAATAGTATTTCATCATAAAATAATTTTCAGAAAAAAAATACACCGACTTCGAAATGCACTAAAAAGTATAAAATAATTTCTATTTCCTAATGAAGTAATTTCTATTTCATTCAATCATGCAATTACGTAACAGATATGAATGAAACCTATTTACTCGTTAGGTAGTATATTAAATACATTTCAAC